CGAGGCCAGACGCCGGTGGCCGAGGGGCTGCAGAGGTGCCCTGCAGATAAGGGAAGGTTGAAGTTGGGTAGGAAAAGCAAAGGCCTTTGAACTCGTGGTCCTATTGTCACTGAAACTACCTGACTTGACTTGAATTTTAGGAAAGACACCTAGGTGATATTGGTTCACTTTGTCAGAGGTCACCGCCCCCCCGCCCCGTGCTCTTAAAATAATTGTTTTAATGTAATTTTTGTTTGTCATAAGTTGAGATAGTTGCAAAGGATGTAAATGTTAATATTTGTAAATTAAAATGTTAAATCACTGTTTGAAATTTATCCAATGGGATATAAATACTGTAGTGATTTAATATCCACCGTCGTTCATTTAAAATACAGCTCTTTAACGCTGGGAAATTTTACGTCATTCGTTTTCCTTTGAATTTGGTTTCTATTCCACTTTGCCCACAGAATATTATCCTATTGTTATGCTTGAGTTTCGTGGTGCTCGGTTATACTTATATGCAATGTGTATGTGTGCATATGTGCACACATACACATAAATGTAATGTTTTTTCTTAATTTCCTTTGACAGTAGGCTCTAAGTATTTTTTTTCTTCTGGATTGAGTTACTATTGCAATTATTATTAGAACACAATTGATTAATAGTAGAAATATATTAAAAAGTATGATAAACTTTATTTGAAAGATAAGTTTGTATTAGAAATTTTTGTTTATTTATTTATTTGTTTATTTGGCAGCTGGCCAGTTGGGGGATCCAAACCCCTTGACCTTGGTGTTACCAACACCGTGATCTAACCAAGTGAGCTAATGGGAGAGATTTAATTTTTTTTTTTTGTAAAGATGACTGGTAAGGGATCTTAACCCTTGACTTGGTCTTGTCAGTACCACGCTTTCCCAAGTGAGCTAACCTGCCATCACTATACGGGATCTGAACCCATGGCCTTGGTGTTATCAGCACCACACTCTCCTACAGGCTGGCCCAGGAGGGAGAAATGTTCTGTGCATAAATAGTGAGATTTTTTAAAAAATCAGTTTTAGGGCAGTAACTCTTACCGTTTGTAATATGTTTAATGGAAGAGAGTGCATGCCCATTGTTGATTTATCAAAGCTTAGTATGTAGTACAAATTCACAGTCATGTATTTGCACACATAAACATTGACAACTTAGGATACACCACTTTAGGATGCGTAACGCTCTGTATTAAATATTTTACATGCATGTATGTCTATATAGAAAGAAAAGGTGACCGTGGTGACAGATTTTCCACAGTTTGTCAGTGTTTGCTGGATTAGAGCACGTTTGGGACAGGACCTCTGTTGGAGAAGATGCTTCTATGGGCTTTCTTTCATGGCCCTGACAATTTAGGATATGCCAAGCTCTGTGTTCAATATTTTACATACATTGTCTCATTTAATCCTCATCCCTATGACCTCAACCATTTTTCTCATTTAACAGATGGAGAAATTGAGGCATAGAGAAGTAATTTTCCCAGGTTACACAGCAAGTTAAGTGGTGGGGCTGGGATTTGAACCTTGACAGTCTTTATACCAGAACCCACGCTCTTTATCTCTATTTCCTATTGATTCTCCTCTCAATACTCTTTCTACACTTATTTTGCCTTCTTTCTAACCTATATACTGAACACATAGACTGAAGCAAGCCATTTGGATCTGGCTATTTGGACCATTCTAAATGACCCCGAGAATGTTTTCACTGTCCTTTTGATGACAGGGAAGCTTGACCTGGTCAGTAAGCAGTCAGCAGAATCAGAAAAAAAAAACTGCAGCCTCAGCTCTCTGTCATTTGCTGGAACTGTCACTAATTCTGTATATCAGTCTGTGTCTCACAAATCTCACAATTTTCTTGTGATCACCTAAGAAATAAACATTAAACATTAGCTTTTTATCTGAGTCATAGCAATTATGTAGAAATAATTGACAATAAATCATCAAAAATAAAAATTTACATTAGTAATAAAAAATGGGCAGTAATTGAAGACAACACTGTAAAATTAACTTTTAATTTAAAAGTATGGAATAATAAAAATCTTAGTGAAAACTGGCTTGGTGGAAATAATAACTATGAAAGTAAATTCACAATGAAAGAAGCTATGATTGGGAACATTTGGAATGGACAAAATATGAATTGGTAATGAAATTGTTATTAAAATATTTAAGTGGAAAATATTCCCAATGGAAATGATTTCATGACATAAAAATGAACATGGAAAAAATGGAAAATGAGTTAACTTTCCTGTATGGAAAATTGATCAATGAATTAAATTTATTTTTTAGAGTTTACCACAAAAAATATTTTCCAAGCAAAAACAATGTGTGTTGTTATATTTCTACTTAGAATGTAGAATTTAAAACATCCTTTGTGACAAAATGACACTCAAAATGTTCTAGGATTTTAACCAAAACGTACTGGCCTAAAAACAGACACTCAGATCAATGGAACAGTATAGAAAACCTGGGAATCAATCCACATACTACCAAGTGATCTTTGACAGAGGCAGCAAGGACATACATTGGGGAAAAGACTGCCTCTTCAATAAATGGTGCTGAGAAAATTGGACATCCATATGTAGAAAATGTACCTCTCATCGTATACTAAAGTCAACTCAAAATGGATTAAAGACTTAAGTGTAAGACCTGAAACCATAAAATTACTAAAGGAAAACATAGGGGAAACACTCCAGGAAGTAGGGCTAGGCATAGACGTTATGAATAAGACCCCAAAAGCACAAGCAACAAAAGAAAAAATAAATGGGATTATATCAAACTGGAAAGCTTCTGCACAGCAAAGGAAACAATCAACAGAGCAGAAAGACTACCTTCGGAATGGGAGAAAATATTTGCAAACTATACATCCAAGAAGGGATTAATATCCAAAATATGTAAAGAACTCAAACAACTATGCAATAAAAAACCAAATAATCCAATTAAAAAATGGGTAAAGGAGATGAGTAGACATTTTTCAAATGAAGGCATACAAACGGCCAACAGGTACATGAAAAACTGCTCAGCATCACTAGTCATCAGAGAAATGCAAATCACAACCACACTGAGATATCATCTCACCCCAGTTAGACTGGCTATTATTAAAAAGACCGAGAATAACAAATGCTGGAGAGGATATGGGGAAAGGGGGACTCTTCTACACCGTTGGTGGGATTGTAAATTAGCACAGCCATTATGGAAAACAGTGTGGAGGTTTCTCAAACAGCTACAAATAGAACTACCATATGATCCTGCAATCCCACTACTGGGTATATATCCAAAGGAATGGAAATCATCATGTCGAAGGGATACCTGCATTCCCATGTTCATTGCAGCTCTAAAAGTGGCCAAAATATGGAACCAAACTAAGTGTCCGTTGACAGACAACTGGATAAGGAAAGTGGTACATAATCACAATGGAATACTACTCAGCCATAAAAAAGAATGAAATTCTGCCATTTGCAGCAACATGGATGAGTCTGGAGAAAATAATGTTAAGTGAAATAAGCCAGGCAAAGAAAGAGAAATACTGCATGTTCTCACTCATAACTGGCTGCTAGGAAGGAAGGGAAGGAGGGAGGGAGGGAGGAAAGAAAGAATTAAGGGAAGAAAGAAAGAAATGACCATAACAATACGTTGAACTTTCAGAAGGAGAGAACAAACCTAAAATGAGGGAAGTGATAAAAAAAGAAAAAAATGTTCTAGGGGTCAAATATACTGTACCCTGCCTTGCTCTCAAATACACACACCCTAATTTACAAGCATATTGAATTCCAAGAATTAGTTTGTAAATT